ATAGCTATAAAAGTCAAATAGATAAATATTAAGTTATTACATGTTAAGGCTTTCATTAATCTGAACTCAATCTAGTACAATGTGCTCTGTGGTTAATAGCAGCAGATCTGAGGATCTGGTCTGTCATTTCATGGTTTCTCAAAATACTGCATGACATTTTAATAATTTAACCAATCATCTCAAACACAGACAATAGCAGAAAGGAGACATTGAATACTGCTTTTATGGAATAAATTGTCATGGTGGTTCCAAGTTTCTTAACCCACATGCGAGAACACAGGAGAGGCAAGTAAATGAATAAGTTTATTGAATCCAGGGGAAAGAAAATGGGAATGAGTTCTGGAACAGATGACCGGTTTGTCTGATTGTCAACGAGAGGCAACAGGTTAAGAGTGGTTGAGAGAGTTTTTCCAGGAGTAAACAGACAAGGTCTTACTTGGAGTGGATGAATGTGGTTGCTGGCAGAGCGCTGGATAAGAGCGGACAGGTTAGTATATAGCTGAATGAGCGGAGTCCCACTAGGTCCAGTTATAAAGAATCTCCATATGGGTTCGGGCACGGCAGGTAAACCTGTGATGTCATGAAGGGGAGTCCACTGGAGACGGACTGAAGACGGGGGAAGGCGAGCCCACAAGGGATGGCGTCCAGCTGGTACAACCAACGGCGTCATGGGGAGACACGAGGGAGGAACTCACTAACAACGGGCAGCTTCAGCTCACGCAGAATCCCTGGGCAGACGGCACACTCGGGGAACAACGAGGAGACAGCGGGTTCACCTGGCGTGGAAAACAACAAGGGATTAGCTCAAAGGAAAACACAGAGGGCCTTTCTCTGGTCGTTCATCCGCTGTTTATATACACCCAGATCGCGCCGTCCAAACAAGCTGCAGGTGCGTCTACGGGGTTGTCACCGCATCTCTCCAGGGGTTCTGTAACCTGGCGGCATCTGGTGGATGCCACGGGAAGCAGCAGGTGCTCCAGGAAAATAAACTCAAACCAAAAGACAAAAAGGGAAGAGAAACAAAAAACAAAACAGAAAAGACACAGACCCTGACAGATATATATTTGGATTTAATAGAACTAGTAGATTATCAGCAATTAAGACAGTAAATATTACTTTTCAAACTTCACCACTTATTCGACTTTACCACAAAGTGGCAGCAAAGATAATCTACTTCTGAACCACAGATCTTCGTAGTGAACTCTGTGTTTCAAAAGGAAATATCAAATACTAGAAAGAAATGCAGTACAGAAAATTATGTTAATGTCTCATCAGTGTTGGGTTTTATTGTGAAAAATGTGACACAAATTAAAATGATCTGTATATAAAAATTGGAGGGTTTCATTTATATATATATGCATACTTCAAATGCAATCAAGACATAAAATGATGTAAATAAAATCTGTCCATAAATATTTTACCACTCAGAAAACAGAAGATGATACATTTTCCATGTTTTGTTGTAATAAAGGTTTTTCTCCTGAAGTTTAGCTCGGTGTTGTTACAGCAGGAAGACTGTCAGCATTTTTATAGCTCACAGAGAAAACATCACCAAGATCTCTGATAACATGAATCTGAAAAAAACAAAAGACACGCAGGAAAAAGCATTGTTGACACTTAATAAAGAGTCCATTATTCTTATTTAAACATATCAACTCAGAACTTACTTTTAAGTTTACACTAAGCCTGTACTGTTCTGCTAATTTAAGTTCAAAATAAGTTAGTTAACTGGAGCATTTAGAAAACGTTTTATTCTAAAGGTAATCAGTTACAGTTCTTACAGTTTATTTCAATATTCTAGCAAGAAGCGCCATATTTCCCTGGAGCAAAGATTAAACAGTCTTTTATAATTTACACCAGAAAACCTTCTGAAGCACAAGAAATGCTTCCCTTCAACCTGAAACACCAACAGCAGAGTTAATGCTAGCAGGGCCATTTCCTGTCCCTCACAGCTGCAAGTCAATCTTCTGCTTCAGATCTGAAGATATTTTTGTTATTTCCTCTTCCTGGAAGAAACATACCTGCAAAAAATCCATTTTATCATTTGTTTGACTCTACTGACATTTTCTTCCAGACTTCTATAGAAATATATAACTTATGCTGTTTCAAGCTGAACAAAGCAGAAAAAAATAAACTTACATTATTGCTTTGTTTTAGAATAACACTGACGTTTTGCAAAATGCACTTTCCCACACTTTGTGAGATCTAAAAGAAGAAGTACAATATTTCACAATATTCAATGATATCAGCAAAGCGTCACTAGCTGACCGGAGACACCGCCCACAGTCCTCCAAGTTTAGCTTTACAGACTCTATAGAGCCACAAACCATCAGGAACCAAAACTAAAAAACATGCAGAGGTTCAGTTCATTTTATTCATATGGGACTAATTTACAACAAAAACTCATTCATCTCTATTCATACAGAATACAGTCAGTCTGAAATCCATTATACCCAATTAATTTAAAAACTAGTAAGTCATGATGTCATATTAAGATTTAGTCCCCTACAGTCCCGGTCGATCTTAATGTTAGGTGATGAAGTGATCTGAATGCACCGTCTTTAAATTTCCAGCCATCCTTCTTTGTGTGAAAGCATGTGGCGACAGTGGAAAGAAACAGCTTCCTTTGAACTGCTCTGAGGCACTGTGGCTGCAGAGGGTAGAAAGGAGACAGAAGCAAATGGTCAGAAAGGTTTTTAATGGAAAAGAAAACAAAATGGTACATTGAGTTCATGGCAGCAATTACTCTAGTAATGACTTTGATCTAGAAAGAGACACAATTACTAAAAACTCAACCTTTAAACTGTTTTCTTTTTTAATTTTTAATCATTCCAAAGGTTGAAATTATGTTGCATTGTTTCAAAATGTGCGTGTTTATTGTAGTATTTAGAGAGCAAGTCTCTCATTAATTGATGCTTATGATTAGAGAACCACTCTGTTTACTAATCTATCAATTATTTCCTCAGTTTTACCAACAAATAACACAAAAAATCTCCTCCCATGCAACTTTCACATATTTTCAGTAAAAAGTCAGAAAAGGTAAATAAGGCATTGGGGTTTCAACCACAGCAAAATAACAAAGATTATGTTGCTGTGGTTGATGCAGGATTCACAAGCATTCAGAATCTTATTAAGACAGAGAAAAAACACAGATATACATTTATATTTTACATAACTTATTGTTAAAAAAACATGAAGAATGAAATTTTTGCAAAATCTCTACCAAGGCTACACATTAGTTGATTTTCAAACACTTAATTTTGGAGCTCATAAAGAAACTCAGTTAAGATTTAACAAGTTTTAAGAAAATTCAGAAACATGTTAAGATTTTCCAACTAAAGGCAAAAAAAGTCAAAATAATATTTGTCACATTTGATGGGAAAAGATGCTCACCATGTGAAGATCCTTAATAAGAGTGAAAGAAATCAAACAGTTTTTAAATGTGTTAGCCACATGCTAATTAGCATACTTGGTGTTAACCTCTTGTGTATGACAGATTAATCTGATGTAAGAACCACGTGAGAACATTCTGCAAACACATAATCTGTTTGTGGGGAAAATTACCCAACCACTTCCAGGAAATATCAGATTCAGGAAACCTGGTTTATTAAATCCTGATGTTGCAGATGCTATGAGTCTGAGGCAAGTAGCCTTTAGCTAACTAATCACAACAACCATTAGTTACCTTTTTTATATCAAACTACATTTTGTTTGGTACTTTTATTGCATATCACACAATAAAAATCTAAATATTTTATGCAGAACCACTAATCTGATGTTTTGTTTGATATATTCCAGTGTAAAACAGCCACATCCTCCAACTAACTGATGGAATTAAATGGATTTCCAGGATGAGCTTTGGTTATTGATCTCCTCCTTTGATTAAGAAGTAGTTTTCTAATAGCTACGACTTCTTCTTAAAGAGCAGAAATGGCAGCTTTTTTCACTGAGGTTTTTTCTATGGTGAAATCTTAAATGCAAAAAAAAAAAAATAGTTGCACTTCCTTAATAATAAACTAGAACTATACAGCCATTTAAGCACAAATGTACTTGTCCACTTCCTGTTAAGTTGTTTAGTAATGAAAAGTCATGATAATTCACGTCATCCTGTCTGGTTTATTCTGGTTTGCTGACGCGACTGTAGAGACTGTTGGGATCGATGTCCGTCTCCATTTTAGGCTTCACAGCAGAATAAGTGACGACATCGTGTTGAACTGCGACCTGGACCAAACAAACCACATGATTCACAACATGGACAGAACTTCTTATATTAGGATCAGAAAAAAATAAAACACAAAGCTATGTTTATATATTCTACTGACCTGATCAATGTTCTTACTATTAGAAATTATTTTTAAACAATACTTGGGGAAATTCATGTGACATTGTGAGCTCAGACTTCATTTGCAGTCCAGGCCTTTTAAACAGGGATTATACTTGCTGCTTATTTGACTACCACACTTTTTCCTTCCATTCAACTTTACATTATTATGCTTGAATAGAGCCAGACAGTATCTTTCTGAATACTAGAGCATGACAATAATACATAATCTGTGCATTTTATCATGAAGAAAATGTACATTGTAATTGTTTTATAATCTGAATTTGGAATTTCATTAGTTGTAAGTCCAACTCATCATAATTAACAGAAATAAATGCTTCAGGTATTTCACTGTGTTTTTACTCAATCTATGTTGTAGGTTTCTTACTGAATCGCTGAGCTTAATATTTTTAGCTTTTGAGATGCACCCGTTTTCAATTTGTTTATTGCCATGCAAACGAGTGAAATCCTGTTCTTTGGTGTTAAACTAAAACATCACAGAGAGCCACCCACGCTTACCCTGTGAGGGGAGTTTGGACCAAAATGGCCGATCGATGCATAGGTCAGAGTGCAAGGTAACTCCGCCTGAGAACAAAACAAAGTTTAAGGTTTAATGCCAGAGAACAATTGGTAAGCTACACATTACACATTATAATGCTGCACATTATAAGCTTCAAATAAAATCAGATGTTTAAAACTATTACTTGGCATCAAATGATATTGTATCATGATATGGCCTCCGATTGGATGTGAACACATTTTTTTCATGTTTATCATTGATAAGAAACTGTAGAATATTTAGAAGATACTCACATTTTGGTGAATGTGACTGTTTGCTTTTCTGACGTCTGAAACAGAATTTCAAGTACAACTTTAATTCAGCCAGAGCCATTCCTATTTTAACACTTTTAATGAGTACAGCTTTAAAAGGCAGATAAACAGAATTTCTCTTCCCAAACTGGAATGAGTTAACGGTATCTATTTTCAATTTAGCAAAAAATTCAAATAACGCTGAAAGGCTAAATAGACAGGCCTGATGTGTAAATGTGTAAATTCTTCGTTTTATTACAGATTTAATATAATCACCTGCATCTTAGAACCCGTTGCTACTTTTTCATTTTTTAGTAAAATGAAAGCCTGACTGATGCATCTCCATGAACAATCCTGAACCTGTGCAACATTTCAGGTCTTTATTACATCGTTTTAAAATGAATCATTGTTGAACTCTTGTACTAAACTCTATATGTATTCTAACAGTGTTTTGTCTCACATCTTTAGTGCTGTCCAGGAATACCAGCCTGTCTGGTGCAGCCAATTCATGCACATGGTTCACAGACTGTGATATTCCCCTTATGCTGGTCTGTGTGTTTTGGAGTTTATGTGCTTTTTATTCTTTACCAAGACGTTCATGATGATGTTCCCTGCTCAGTGCATGTGATGAAGAGTTGTGCAGCTGATACACTAGACTTTAAATTATGAAAAATAAAAATAAATGTTTTTGTTGATAAAATGAGTTTTTTAAATCAATTTTAACTGGGAACACATTAAAATATGCTATAGGCTGAATTATTACGTCTCATCATAACAGGAAGTGTGCATGCTAACATTTATTAAGTGCTCCACTGGAAATGCTTACATATATTGTCCACTTCCTTTTATGAGAAGACAAAGGAAGTGATGTAAGTTTTAGGTGATGTGTTGACAGGACCTTTTGCAACCAGTTTAACCCTGGAAACAGCAAGTTAATGAAAGCTGCACTGAAGAAAGTACAGCTATAAATGGAGCTGGAAAATGTGACCAGGACGTCTGGGTGAGAGAATTCAATGGGACACGACCCATGACTAATGGAGGCCATGTAACACTGATGACATGTGATGTTTAAAGCTCATTTGTTTCCAGAAGTAAATATAATTTTATTAAATTTAATGAAGCATCTCATCAAGGAGCAGCAGCAACAAAAATAGATTATCCTGGTTTTTAAATAAATGAGTTAAACTCTGTGAGTGTCACCTGAACTGGAGTTCTTTAGCTCGTCTGACTCTTTGGTTCTCTTTCTGCAGTTGATGAGAACAGCAGCGATGGCAGCCAGCAGCAGCCCCACTGCCAGAACCGGTCCAATGATGTAGATCGGATACATCTGAGTCTGATCTGAGCTCACAAGAATAAACAACGGCTGAATGCAATTCTTTAAAAAACAAGAAATCTCTGTTTTGCTTTTTATCCTTATTTATGTTTTACCTGTAGATAAAACTGTGTAGTGAGCTTTTATCTTCATTGTGTTTCCCTCAAAAAACTGGCAGGTGTATGTGTTATCCAGAGGCTTCACAGTCAGAGAGGAAACACACTGGATCTGTGCACTGGTCTTCTGGTCAGAGACATTTTCACCAACTAGTTCAGCTCCAACGTCATTTTTCCAGACGAATCTGTTATTTAAACAACGGGTTAAATATTTCCACAGAGAACATTGTAGATTTATATTTCCATCCTTTGCTGCATCACCAGCTGGTGGAGATGGAGAGACTGAAATGAAACCAGAGAGAAAACTGACATCTCAGATTAACCAGTAAATAAGTTGTTACACATTGTTGTTAGACATTTTTCAATTACTTTACACTTCATGATTATTTTGTTAGAGCATTATTGAGATAGACAGAGGGTTCATGCTACAGGCTGTCTCTAGACATTTACAACAGCACACACACACACACACACACACACACACACACACACACGCACACACACACAGACACACACACACACACACACGCACACACACATGTTTGTGTTACTATCTTTGTGGGGACTTTCCATTGAATTCCATTCATTTCTACAGCCTAAACCTGACCTTTACCCTTTTCCTAACCCTATCCATCACATACCTAACCCTAACCCTAACCAACCAAAACTCAATTCATACCTTAGTCCTAACTCTGACCCCTGACCCAAGGGGAGCAATTGGTCCCCACAACGTAGTATATGTCAGGAAAATCGTCCCCACAATGTATTACAAACAAATGCACACACACACACGCACGCATGCACACGCACACACACACACACACGCACACACGCAGACACACACACACGCACACACACACACACACACAGGTTTTGGACATTAAAATGGCATTAAGAGGAATAAGTACTATACTTACTGGATAAAATATTCAGATACATTAGGCTGTCTGTGTTTCCTCTCCGGCAGGTATAACGTCCAGCATCCTCAGGAATGATGCTCTTTATGGCCAGAGAGCAGTCAGTGTTCAAACTCAGCCTGGCAGCATTAACTGACTGCTGGTTAATATTTCCATCTGAGACTTTGGACTTAGTCGGACTGTCAAGAATGTCGTTATAAAGCCATGAAACACTGCGGCACGATGAAGAAGATGGACGATCACAAGGTAGCACAACATTGTTTCCAACTGTGTGATAGACATTAGATGCATCTCCACTGATACCTTTTAACAGAAAAAGACAAAATCTGAAAGTTTTATGCTTACATCAGCTGAAAACAGCAATGAACAAAAAAGGAAAATAAATGAGTCACCAAATCAAATGTTTTATGCGTTTAATTTAATTGTACTTTATTTTCATTCAGAACTTCTTCAAACCTCTAAAAGATTTTGTGATGTTCAAGATCATTTTCATTTTATAAAATATAATTGACCTAAATATCTCAAACCCTTAAAAAGTTAACTGAGGTGGTTTTGAAAATGCTTTCTAAAGTAATTAATCAACATTCAACATGTAAGTCAAATATTTACCTTCAAGTTGCAGCACAAAGAGCAGAAATATCTCCAGTTTGGCCATTTCCTGTCAGTCCAGCGGCCGCCGGACGCTGTTCAACTCTCTCAGCCTCAAGTGAAGACGATGTAACTTCCTTCTTGGAGTTGACATTCTGAATGAAGCAACACCCACCACGGATGACGTCATCTGGTTTCCATACCGTTAGCTCATCGTTTTTTAAAAAACAGGAATAAGAGCATATTTCTAAAAAACAAATTTATGTTACTGTGCATTAAACACAAACAAAGGCATTGTTGTGCTTTTCGTACCCAGTATCTTAGAAAGTCCTAAAATGTAAATAAATTCAACGTTCTGATGAAAGAGGAAGTGCAATATGTTGTAATGTCTCAGATTAGCCAACACTTTGTACCACCATGTTTTCAGCTGAATAATACCAGACATCATCCCTTGATTTTTATTAGAATACCAGTAATCTGTTTAACAGAGTTTAGTTTTCTCCTACGGTGGATGAATGAAGGTGTTCATTAACTCTGACCCAAAATAAAACTAGAACAGAATCTCCAAATAATACAAGGGACATGGAGGTAAAGAAAAGTCAAAATAAACCAAAGAACTGAAAAATCAAAGGCAAACATCATAGGCCTTCAGACACCATGACACACTAAATCAAGGATCTGACAAAGGATGGGAGTAACTGGCTAGTAAATGTACTGTGGAGGATGGTTACTGACTAACATGGAGCTGTGAGGTGATCTGAGGTAACAGAGGAAAAATTTATATGAGGGAAACAAACAAGCAAAAATATAAAATGCAACATAACCCAGAAAAAAACCAACCAAACTAGTTTGCAGTTGTGTGTGTGTTTATTGTTTCCAATCAGAAAACCATGGATGGTTCTTCTGACAGATCTGGAGACCTGTTGCAGTACAATATGTCCAGATATAATCTTAAAACCAGAAATAATCTCAGAAGGCCGATCAGAACAGGAGAGGTGACAGACAGAAAGAATCAACTTCCACCTCACTTCAGAAAACCCGTGTGATGCACGAAGGCGTCCAGCATTTATAGGACCAGTAGAGACCTATTGGTGAAAACCTGTGGAGAAATTGTTCCACTGGCAGATAATTTCACTTATAACAAGACATTTTTCTCTTTTTATAAGTTAAATAATCTGATGATGGAACTAGAACTTTTTAAAACAAGCTCCTATATCCTTTTGAAAAGTTACTTACAAGTTAGTTTTAACATTTGCACTAGAAATTGGACCAAATTACTTGGCATGATTTTGTGTTTTGCAGTGTTATCTAGCCATCCTGATCTGCGTAGGTTTGTTCCAGCAGCCATTGGACGAGAGGTGGCGTACTCCCTGAACTTTTAAGGACAAATTATTAATCTGCAGGAATATGTCTGAGTGCTAATAAATATATTTAACAGTTTTCTCAGTTATTTCAGCGACAGCCTCCCCTTCACCAGACAGTCTGTTGCTCACCCAGCGACTGAGACAGTGAGTCTCCATGAACTCATAACTGATCAGTCGTGCAAACCTGAACAGTGGATGAGTGGAAATATTAATTTAGTGACTGAAGTTGAAATATGAATATTACTCCTCCACTTGTCTACAATCATTGTAGACAACAATCATCATGATTGTTGTGTTCCTAAAAGTGAATTCCTAAATTTGTGCTCTCAACATTTTTCCCCAGAAAATTTTGAGTCATTTGTACGAGCAAAACTGATGGAGGCTCGAACTGGGAATCGTTACCTTCACAAGTTAAAAACAAATGCGGTGCCAAGAGTTTTTATCCACAAACCCTGCTGTCACCGGCGCAACAAAACACTGGGAGAAACATCAGACCGACAGCGCTGGAAGATCTTTTAAATGCTAACGGAGCTAATTGCTACTGCTGCCGGTAGTGAATATAAAACCACCGATCGGACCGGCACCGGATCCAATACAGAGCTACAGATGCTGGGATTAACATCAGACAGGCAGAGCTCTTTTAAATGCTTACAGGTGGTAGTGGTACCGATGGCACCACCGCCTCCCGTTTAAGTCCGTAAGACTGGAACCTATCAGCTGTTACCGGACCAGACCCAGAGATGTAGAACTACTAACACAGTCTGACCAGAGCTAAGTGCCATTCATTGTTTCATTTATGAAGCTGAAGGCAGCAGCAAAAGTGGCAGCAGCTTCTTCGGCCAACTCTGTCCTCTTCCTCGTTTGGTCCTCCTCATCTTCATCATCTCATGTGATCTCTACATTCTGATCGATTTCAACGAGCTCCGGTTCAAATTAAAAAGGAATAAAGATGTTACTCATTGCTGTTTTGGCTGGATAGAGCTAGTGCAGTTGGACCGTTAGATGTTATTTACCCAGAAGGCATTGCAGCATGAACAACATGGAAATAGAGAAAAGACAAACTTTTTGTCAAAGAATAACGACAGCATAATTCTTCCCAGTTGTATTTGTATCTTTAAGCATTGCTTTTGTTTCGTCTTGGAGGCTGAATTGCTTCGGTTGCTCTTCTAAGAAAGGTGAGTTTAGTCACTTCCTTTATGTCTCTGGTTTAATTAAAGCAGCAGTGGGCCTCTTCCTCAGTACTACTGACACTCACTTAAATGTCATTTCCTCAGTTTTAGCTTTTTCTGTCAGTTAAATATCTTAGGTAAAAAAAAAAAAGTGTCAGGTCAAAAAAATTAACACCTCAGAGAAAAATAACCTGATGGTTTCCTAAATGTGAAGGGAGCAAAATGTTCCTCTTTACAAAGAGGTGTATGAGAAACAAATATTAACATCAGTCAGGAAAGGTTTACAAAACCTTTGGGTCTGAATGAGCCATCATCTAACGAATCGTTATCTTCATGTGGAGGAAACATGGAGCTGGTCAACCCGTCTAACGGCAGCCGGTGCTGGTTGTTCTGTAAGATGGAGGGACTTTTGAAGGTTTTCTTGGAGTTCTGCACTTTGCTCTTTGTAAATATAAAATTACCTGAATAGAAGTAATTTTATTTTTGCAGCTCTGATAGAGAGAGCACATTCATCTACTCTTGAATATTAATCATGAAACACAAATTGTCAGAACACAATGGCAGCCATTTTATGATAAATGCAATTAAGTTTTATTTTATAACGACTTAAAATGACATTTAACAGCCAGGATCTTCAGTCAGCCTGTAAAAATGACTGCACAAGAAGAATCAAAGTTTTTAGAGAAAAAGGCAAGATAATGCTTTATTTGAAACATTTTCAATTATAGTTATGGATGGAACTTGACTAAATGTTGTGTTTTATTGTTTTTATTGTTGATTCTATGTTGCATTTTCTGTATTTCTGTTTTTTTAAATAATGTAAAGCACTTTGAAATGCCTTGTGCTGAAATGTGCTATACAAATAAAATTTGATTTGATTTGATTTATTAAAGCACTCTAGTATCCTTGGTTAGTTTGTGGTATCAACAGTTTCTCTGTGAAAAAGAATTTGAAGTTTCATTGAAAATAGGTCTTTATTTTAGATATTAGATTTATCTGTTAGCTATTCCTTAACCAATTTAGTCTGGAAACAAGTAAAAACAAAAAGACACCCATACAAACAGATGAAACATCAAAATAAAGCATTTTTTGTAAACTGTAACGGATGTGATGAAGCTCAGTGCAGTGCGGCGGCAGCAGAACGTTCTCCATCATTTTCATAATCCACTGTGTCGTCATCAGCAGCAAAACGAACCTGAGATACAAGCAGAGATTAACTGGATGAAACTGATACAGAAATAAAATTAATATTTAGAGAGAAACTTCAAAGCATCACAAATGATACCACAGAAAAAACCCTTAATAACAGCTTATAGGATTAATACTCATGTAAAATAACAGTTTTACACAATTTATTAACCATAAATGTTTATCTTCCAACGTATTTTAAGGTAAAGACTAAAAAGGGAAAAGCTTTAATTCAGTACTGCTTGCATCATGTTTGTAATTTATAATCTACATATAAAAGGTCTATGAATGTATTCATCATGATTGTTTCTCTTACTTTAATGTCTTTCTGAGGCTTTTTTCTTCCTGCAGTGAAAAACAGAATAAAGTGATTAAAGTGTGTAAATTGTCTCCATGGTAGCTGAGTTTCCTCACCTCTGGTTCTGATGATACC